TGGGCCACTCGGGATGGGACGAGCCTGGCCAGAGCAGCAGGGGCTCAGCTGCATTTTCCCCCTGTCTGCACCAGTCAGTCCCGAGCAGCACACAGCTCTGCTGCCACTTCTGCTAGTCGGTGCTGACCCGACCAGCCTCCTCCCAGCCCCAGCAGCACATGGGAAGCCGGCTTCAGCTGCATGCTGCTCCGGATGGGACAGACCTGCCCAGGTTTGCACCAGCCAGCAGAGGCGGAGGGGGAGCCATGTGCCGCTTGGGACTGACCAGTGCAGGTAGGGGGAAAGTGCGGCTGAGCCCCTGCTGTTCCGGCTGGGCTCATCCTGTCCTGAGTGGCACATGGCTACTCCTCTTCCCACATGCACCGCGTCAGCAACGTCAAGCTGACGCAGTGCGTGTGGGAACCTTGTCCCTTCCCCAGCCCTTCAGCAGCCATTAGATAGCTGGTGAGGGGCTGGGAGAGGGACAATGGGTGGGAACGAAAGTAAACTGTGTTTACTTTCGTTTCCCATCACAGCACCGCGGATCACAGAAAATGGCTTGGCGGGCCGCCTGGCGGACAAGCCTGCACTATACAAATCCCTGGTCCACCCATATATTGAGTATTGTGCATCTCTGCCTCTCAAAAAGGATGTGGTAGAGTTAGAAAAGATAGAAGGACAACCAAAATAATCTTGGGATATGAAGCAGCTATTGTACCAGGAGAGACTAAAAAGACTAGGACCCTTAAGTTTGGAAAGGAGATGTTTGAGGGGCAATATGATAGAGGCATATAAAATCATGAAGGATGTGGACAGAGTGAAGAGAGAACCAAGTTATTAACCAAGTCCTAGAATAGCAGAACTAGGGGGCACCCACTGAAATTGGCAGAAGATGGGTTTAAAACTAACAAGAGAAAGTACTTTTTTCACTCAGTGCCCAGTTAAATTGTAAACTCATTGACAGAAGAGGTTGTAGATACAGATAGTATGGCAAGGTTCACAACGAAACTAGACAGATTCATGGAGAATAGCTCTATTAATAGCTATCCAACAGAACAGTTTCAGCGGTATCCTCTAGCATCTCTAAACCAACAATGGTGGATGCTAGGGCGGGTAATGAACAGGATATAGATTACTCTAGATCAGAGATGTGCACCAGGGGTGGGACCTATGGGCAGGGCATCTGGAATGGGGCCATGGCCAGGAGCGAGAGGGGCAAGTGGAGCCAGGGAAACCCCAGGATCTTGGGGCGGTGACAGTGTGGGACTGGGATTGGAGCAGAGCTGTGATCCTCCATCCACACACCCTGTGATGTGAGTGCGTTCTGTGAGCAGGGGCGCGAAGGGAGTGGATCACAGCTTTGCCCCAGCTCCACCCTGTGCTGTCACTGCCACAAGATCCCGGGCCTGGAGCTGTTCTGTGCCCAGCCGCCCACATGGCTCCCAGCTGGTCTCCATGGAGACCCTGGGATGGCAGGGCCCTGACAGCACAGGGCTGGGCTGGGGCAGAGCCCCTGTTCTGCAGCCCAGCGCTGTCACAGCCCTGTGCTTCAGGGTCTCCTTGAAATGCTGGGAAATGGAGTCTGCTGCCTGCTGCATCTGCCATTTTGCCCACCCCTGCTCTAGTTATACCTGCTTCAATGCTTTCCTTCTTAACACCCATTCTTGCCACTGTTGGAGGCAGGATGCTGGGCCAAGACCATTGGCCTGACCCAGTATGACACGCAGCTTTTTGCATCCAGGTTGAAAACACAAGAGTCCTGTCCATGTTTTCTACGTACCCTAAACTGAACTAATGAAACTCGGTACCCATATCTATGTTCACATGTTAAATGATGTCACACATAACCCTTTGCTGTTGAATTATGGAGAGCACGCAGTGCTTACCATTCTGTTTTGGTGACATGTAAATAGGTGAATAAGAGGGAGGGGCCAGGTGGGATGTGTTCAGCTCAATGATCATGGAACAGTCATTAATGTATATTTTTCTGAAAAGCATGTACAGGTCAGTAGCCCAAATTAATTGATCTTTCTGCTTCTAAAAAAAATAAAGCAAGCCACTTCACATTTTTGCTGAAATTACATTTATGTGCAGTTCTGCATAGGATATAAGAAAGTAAGTTAGCTTCATTACAGCGTGTGTTCTTCTTTTTTTTACTTGTTGGCTACACAGATATTGGTTGATGCCCCCTGCTCAAATGACAGAAATTGGTTGTTTTCATCGGATGTACAGCAGGCAAGGCTTAGACTAATTCAGAGGAAGGTGTTATCTGCTGTACAGATACAGCTGCTAAGGTGAGAAATGCAAAGGATTAATTTAAATGAGATTGTGGCAAGCCATGTCATTGCAGCTTCACATAGTACTTGGGCTTCAACTGCAGAAAGATCCAGAGCAGCCTATTACAATACAAAAAATGCATATGAAGGGAGTATTTTAAAAATTTCTTTCTGATTTCTTTCTCATTTTTTTCTGATTTAGAGGTAGTATTGATTCTACTACTATTCCCTATTTTAAGTAAAGTTTTAAATCTCACTTTCCTATTGTCTTGTAAAAGCTTTTTAAAAAGTGGTCTCTAAGTCCTATCAAATACAGGCTTTTACCATGCCTTATCCTTTTTTTACTTTGAAGCAGAAATACTATTTGCAATTCACAATTTAAAGCTATGTGATCACAAGGCTGTCCATCAGGGTTGGTCATCAGGCGTAAGGTAACATTGTTGCGGCATGAGATCTTAACTTTCCTTGCCTCACTGCTTATGTGAACTGTTTCCAGGAAGAATTTAACGAACTCTTAGTAGGTTAGCCCATGTGTTCATGGGTTTTCAGGATCAGACCACTAGTTTTTAATTTCACTGCTCTGCTACTGGCTGCTGTTAAAAGTTTTCAATCTTCAAAGCTGGACAACTGTAAATAACAGGTTTAGTAAAAAAAATTAAAATTAAGTTGTCGCAACACATTTGCAATTTAATACAAATGAAACTGCTAATACCTGAAATGCTTTCTTTATCCATGAAACAACCATTGAAATCCCTATGATACCTTGCAGATCTGGTTTGAGTATATTTTGTTGGGGTGGGTTAAAAAAGAGTACTCCTTGAGGTGTATTACTTGAATGGCTGTTTAGTTTTTGCCATCAGCCACATGAAAATTCTTATCCCCCATTACCATTGTTTAGGTTACCCTTGATAAAGCTGTTGCCCTTATCTATTTTTTCACAAAACCATTTTTAAAAGATAAATTGCCAAAAAAATTAAATAATACAGTATGATGTGAAAAATGGAGATGTTTTGGGAGCTAGATTTAGAAGATATTTTTCTTTTAAAAAATACTTTCTATAGCAATCTATTGTTTCATAGTTATTGATCAAGTACTAAACTTTTAAATGTAGTGCAATGTTTCACCTCAGAAGTATATAGCTGTCAAAGCAAATTGAGAGAGAAATAAAGTAAGGTTTCAAAAAAGAGCCTGTTTTATGGAAAGTTCCACTGCAGCAGTGCAAGATAGTTTTGCCTGACTTCTGGAAGAAAAAGGCCTAACAGAAGCCTATGATTTATAACAGAAATATGAGTGTCTTATTGCAGTAATGCATCATGTCACCCGTTTCCTTTGAAGAAATCAATCACATTTAAAAGACTGACCTCTTTCAGTTTTCTCTTTTCAGTATTTGACATGTAAAATCCAATTTGTGAACTTCTAGCAAAAGGAAGCATATATCATTCAGTGAAAGTTTGCAAATTTTTATAAATCATTCCAGATTATAATACTGAAAGTGAAGAACTCTTGAAAGCAAGGAGCTTGTTTTTTTTTTTTAAAAAAAAGCAGACAAAAAATACCTTTCATTCCAAAATATCTTTAATTTAATTTATTTTCCCTTAAATCTGGAAGAGGAGATGGCATCTTCTGAAAGGGTACTGATCTGTAATATAGTGCAGCAGCAATAAAAACTTGGACTCGTAGGTCAGTATGTGTTTGATCAGTTTTCGAGTAGAAAAGTGTTAATTAATCTTCTCTCCAGCAAATTTGCTGTTCAGCAAATTCAACAGTCTTAATTTTTGTCTTGCCTAGATTTTAGAATATGTAAAATTAACCCATTTTAAAGTTCCTTCTTGTCAGTGCCACCTTAAAAACTTCAAGTTTAATTTAGTTAAGTATATACGTAGTCCCAGTGACATCAGTACTTGGTTCAGTAGTACACTGGATTTCTAAGGTGTCCTTTATCTGATGACCTTAGAATGCTTTTGAATGCTTAGGGATTCCCCTACTAGCACAAGTGAGAAAGTAGGAAGTGATAAAACAAAGCCAGAGAGAGGCTGAGTGACTCATTCAAGTGTGCCAACCATTCATGAGCAGAGCTAATAAAACAATCTTACTTGCTGTGAGACGCTTACATGGATGGCCTGAGTTTGTAACTGAGAGCTGGGAATAAAGTTCAGATCTTGGTTCTAAGGTTGACGTTCCCAATAATCTTGAGTAAATCACTTAGGATACATGTACCACTCACTTAAGTTATCTAGGATACAGGAAGAAGTTTCACCACATTAACATGGTACTGACCCCCAGAGGCATTCTGGGAGCCAAGCAAGGTTTGCAGAACCCACCCCCAAAATTAAATGGTCAACATATGCAAATATTTTTTAATATCTAATTTAATAATGAAATACATATACAATATAAATGGTTAAACAATACAGGTAAGTTATAGCAAGCAAATACTTAATTGATGAGATGCATGTTCATTTAAAGAAATAATCTTGTTAATATTCAAAAGGATTAAGTTAATTAAGAATTTTCCAAGTCTTAAATTTTTAAAAATCCTCTACTAAGTGAAACAGACGTCACATGTTACCACACAGGGTCAGGTACCTTCCACTCCAGTACAACAAGGATTCCCTGTTTGCAGAGGTGCATCCCAAATTGGATTCCCCGGGCATGTCTCTCTGCAAACGGGAGAATCTGCACAGGTGCTCCTAGAGCCCAGGGCTGCTTGCTCCCCCGTCTCTGCATGTGTCCCAGCGTACACTATTTTAACCTGCTTTGCACTGCTTTCTTTCTGTGGGGGAGGCTGTTACCAGGAAATCCCCGTAGCACACTTTGCTTCTGTACTGCAAATTAGCAGTGCCACACACAGTGTAACGTGCAATGTGTGTAGTCTGTGGCGCCACAAGACACACATGTCTGCATGTGTGGATATGGCCCTAGAGTCTTTTTGTTTTCCATTGTCTAGTAGAGACAGCGATGCTTTTGCCTTGCATGAATTATGAATTGAGAGGGGAGCGGCTTTTAGAATTAATAATAATTTTAAAAATTGTTCAGCTTAGCCATCTAAAAGCTTGCAAAATACACTTCCATGATGGTTAAATAACTAAAAGATGTTTGCAAGAGGTAAGGATTTTAGTAGGCGATTATATTTTATTTGACCAGCTGTATAGTTGGGAAGGACATAGATGAGCTCTGTACCCTTCCTCAGGTCTTTTCCCTGAGTGTTTTTGTCACTGCAGCACACTGGAATGCTTCCGGTTATTGGAGGGTTCTTTTTTTTAATTACAAATAGCATTGCCATTTGTGATTCTGACAGTGTGAACACCCAGCCTGGGTGCATGCAAGGCAGTTTTAGCAATTAATATGGAAACTGAATGTTTGAATGTTGTGCAGTATTTCTGGGGAGCAGGAAGGAAAGCTCATTGTCTGTCTAGTACAGAGCTTCTGGCTCTTTATTAGCAAGATGAATTGCCTTCCTCAGAGTAAAGAAATGGCTCAGAAACTTTTGCTAAGATTTGTTTTTTAAATATATATATTTAACTTTATTCATGGCAAGAAAGTCTGCTGGTCTTTTGAGCATTTTTGTGCAACTAGGCATAGAAATTGGGGAGGGGGGGATGAAAAATGCTTCCTGTTTATAGTGAACTGTGCATGTGGAAAAAAAGATGGTTGCTGTGTATACCAAACTCTAACGTAGCTGAAAGACTCTCTTGCATGTTGTTGTTTGGAACTGCACTGTCTCTACAATGGCAAAGCTTACTGTACACAGACAGTAACTGTGCACATTGTGCCTGGGGCACAGAGCGAATGCTTGTGCTTATGTCACGATCCCCTGTGCTGTGCTGTCACCTCTCATTATAGCTCATTGTATATTAGGAATTGTATACAGGAGGGATTTCCCTAGCCTTCTCAGCGTGATTTTTTTTTGCCAAAAAGAAAAAAAATACATAAGCAGCGTGACCCTACAGTGGCTCAGCTCAGTTTGATTTTTTTTTTTTAAAGGAAAGAGAGGAAAATGCGTGATCTAATTAATCTAAAATAAAAAAAGGGATGGAGGAAGAAGGTAAATATAGGACTTGAGATGATTTGCTGCTTGACTGGCTTAGTAGGGATTGATTGCTTTACTTCTCATCAAAACCAGTGTTGGGTATTAAAGGGAGGAAAAAAACCCCTCTCTTCCAGTGACCAAAAGATGGCACTGTTGAAGTGTTACAGTATTTTTGTAACTTGCCTTGAAACCAGTTATCTTTCTTTTCTTTTAACACCAAAAATGTTTATATTAGTGATATAATTAATGCTGACCCTTCCAACAAGATGTGGAACATATAATCATGTACCGAAAAAGTGGGTTAGGGAAGTGGGATTTGCAATAAGAAATTATATCCCAATGTTGTTTTGATAGCTATTTATTATATGCCTTTTTTAAAAGGTTGTGTTTGAAAAGCCAAGGCTTAAAAAAGGGAACCAAATGGCAACCTATCACGTTGTTTAATTTATTTCAGTGTGAAATATCCCTTTTCGGCATTTGATAACATAAGTTTTAGTGACATTTAAAACTATTCTGATTTTTTTTTTTCAGTCATTGAAGTACATGTATCTGAAACAGATCTTTTTTATTTTTCTTGTAAGATATTGAAATAATCTTATTGCTTTGCTTTCCTTTTTTTTTTTTTTCTAATTCATTTTTTGTATCTCTTTTTTAACCTGTTTAATTTACTGTTAATCTTGAGGCTTGCACTAAATAAAACATGGACCATTTGTTAGATTTGTTCAAAGTCTTTAAACTTGTTATCCAACAATCCTGCCTTGTGGAGGGTTGGATTAAATGACCTTAACAGATCTCTTCCATCTTTGACTCCTTCAGTGTAGTAATGTACACTATTTAATTTCCTTCCTAAGAGGTACTTAGTAAAAAAGGAGTGACACTTCAGTCTTTGGAAATTTTATAGACAGCAAAAGATTTCATAGACAGTAGAGCTGGAAAGGACCTTGTAAGATCATCAGGTCCAGCCCCCTGCCCAAGGGGCAGGAAGTCA